AGCAGCAGCAGCAGCAGCAGCATTGAAGCTTGAGATGGTACAAGAACTTTGTGAATAAAGAGCTCAGCCCAGGTTGCCGAAGATGCAGCCCTGAAAAGGAGAATGTCCATTAACAATGGCAATTCGAATGGAGTTATTTGGGCGAGTGGAGGTGCCTCTAAGTATAATGACAATGGAGTCGAAAAAGAGCCTCTCTCTCGTTCGAAGATTTCTTCGTGGAGTCCACCAGGCCCATTAAGGAAACAAAACATCATCATCATCATCATCACCATCATCATCATCATCATCATCATCATCATCATCATCATCATCATCATCATCATCATCATCATTGTCTTCGTTGTCGTCGTCGTTGTCGATGTCATTGTTGTCGTAATTGTTGTCGTCATTATCGTTGTCGCCGTAGTTGTCGTTGAACAGCAGGAAAATTAAGTAGTCTTGAATAATTTTGTTAGGAATGTACAAATCTGATCAACCTTACACAGAAGAGTAGACCACAGCAACGAGAGTGTTCCCCAAAGAAGAGAGTAAAGAAAAAGGAAAGATTTTTGGTATTTTAAATTGCTGAATGAACATAGAAGGGAACAAAGAAAAGAAAAGTTCACTGAAGAAATTGAGTGACTAATTGGTAAATAAAGTAAGGAAAGGAAGGCGTAAGTAAGTACAAAAGGACACAAGAAAGGAAGAAAAATTATGGTATTTCATAAAAGTCTTTTAAAATATTTTTTGGGTAAGTGTTTCACGACGCTCCCAACTGCATAAGGTCATATGAGCGCGCAGGAAACGTTTTCGGTGGGTAGGAAATTTTGAAAATTTTGTTCAGGTGGCGGCCGAAGTCTACTCTTATCGATTTTGGAACATCAATCTTTAACAAATCTTGCTCACGGCACCTCCGAGATTTTTCGCCTTTAATCAAGGAGGTTAGGTCTTAGATCTTTTCTAACATAAAATCAGAATGTGGCTGAAAGACAGCAGTAAGAAGGAGTCAAGGAGTAGCAGTAGAAAGGCTTCATAAAGAGTCAGGAATCCAGAGTAGGGGCAAAGAAGGTGAGGGGGTCGGGGTTAAAAGTGGAGACGAAAGCAGACGACAGAACATTGTTAGAGAGCAGGAAAAGAGGTGAAAGGAGAACATTTAAGAGAAGAAAATGTTCTGTCGTTGTTCCGTCGTTGTCTGGATTCGAACCAGTGACATATTGAATGAGAGGAAAACCTCATTACCTGTCAACCACTAGAGCCCCCCCCCCCCCAAAGAGTCTAAAAGTAGGTGAACCGAAGTACGTAAATTTAATAATTTACCATAATATTGTACTTAATTCGGTCTTGAGAACAATGCCCTTTCTGCACAGGTTCATCAACGAACTGAAATTATGCGTAACGGAGAACACTCGTACGTGCGGCACTCAAGATTATGGCAGGATCTATCAAACTCAAAGACGGACGCTGCACCACTTCAGAGGCTACAAAGAGGGCTGTGTTGATGTCTTCCAATGTGCCAGCACATTTGACTCATTAGCGCGTCAAATTCGCGACCTCGGAGACGATGAGAATAGTAACAGGACAGCAGGAACGATTAATAAAACCCCCCAGGAACCGCCACCTCGTGCGCCTGGCCTCACTGAGTTGTGCGCAAATGTGAGGCGGGCCTGGGGATGTTTGCAGAATGGACTCAAATCTCTTCCAGCTTTCAGGCGAAACATCTTGCAGCCTGTCTATTCGGCTGCGTGGGAAGCTGTCGAGGAGAGATGCTCTAACACAAGTAAGATATAGTAATACTCGAGGTAATTTTACCTTACTGACCAAAACAGCGTCCCTGACCCATGCTTTGTGCACGTCAGTTGTAACAGTACGTTCTGACTAACTTGTTTGCTCATGACAAATACTGACATGTACTTGTTACACACACATACATGCTCGTGATGATATAGCATTCTCATTAACAAGTTTTCGTGAAAACTATTGCAAGGACTTCACGTTAGAAAACAACGCTTCACGTTATGATACCACGTATAGATATCAATACACACTGCAAAACTAAAGCGTTTGTTTCTGGCGTCTTTTATTTTATTATTGTGGGTGCTTTACGTCATAGAACATTAAAAACATTTTGGGCGGCACTGCACGACCGTGCTCTATGGACGAACCGCGCCTGGCCTTAACAGTCGTCAGTAAATGTCGACTGGCTTGTGTTAGCTACCAGGGGAGAAGGCTGACTTGTTTGACAGGGTAATCAAAGTGAAACGGGACCAGATATGGCCTGGGGATATCACACAAGAACCTTGCTCGAGGCGGCGACTCAGAGTTGTGAATGAAAACAAATCTGGAATTCATTATTGTATGTTCAACTGCCAAATTAATAGGGAAAGTATCTAATTAAATATCAATTCCAATTAAAATTAAATTTAACTTTAGATGTGAATACACAAACACAAAGCAAAGAAGCAGAGATGTCAGTACTAGATATAATTGTTATAGATCTACCAGGGAGTCTAACTCTTTGGCAGAACATGACAATTATCATTTTTAAAATTTCACATTTGGCTGTTTTTTGTCTAGCCTTTCGCGGCCACGAGCCTGTGTCATAATCGAGGTCACGATCTGATTATAGGGCAGTAAAAAGTTGAGGAAAAAAAAACAAGCACTCGAAGCAGTCGAGAGATTATTAGGAGTTAGTACCTAATCAGTGCTTGAGACTGATTATAACTGTGGCCCGAAAGGGGTGAACAAGGTATATGTGGCAATGAAACAGTTTTGGCTGCCATGCACATGTTCCCTTCAACTCTATTGGTAGACTCTTCCAGCCTCACTTTAAAAGCTTACTTAATCAAAGCTTGTGACTGCTTATGGAGTGGCCCAAGAGGGGTGAACAGGCTATTTCTGTGGCAATGAAACCGTTTAGAATGTTAGGCGTACTGTTCATTGTTGATTATGAACGTCTTTTTACATTTAATTTATGAAGTTTACGTTTATGGGTGAATTTGACTGCGACAATGTTTCAAAATTAGGAAGGGAAGCAGTGATTATTTGATTATATAGACGCTTCGCCTCTGCTAGCTACATCTTTTGTTAGTCCTACATCTCCTCACATCTCTCCCAACCTTAAGTTCTTGCACAGAACTACATGCAATAATAATATTATGGTCAAACGACCGTCCTTAGTCTTTTCTACACCTCTCTCTCTCTCTCTCTCTCTCTCTCTCTCTCTCTCTCTCTCTCTCTCTCTGCTGTGTTAGCAGACCTCTGTTTATGTTCAGATATCGTAATGTTACCGGCTTTATGCGCTCACACATCTATAATAAACGTTCTGAGTGGTCGGTATCTTCTACTGATGATCTCCGTGTCTAAATAGAGTAAGAACCTTAACCAGGTCTGAATGTTGCAATGCTCATGCATCTATCCTTAACGTTCATGTGATAGGTTTCTTCTGCTCATTAACTACGTGCCTAGAGACAATATTATGAGTCTTAAACAGGTAGAAACCCATCCGTCCATGACAATTTAGATCGGGTTCTCGCAATCCACTGCTTTTCAGCGTCTTTTAATCATGACTCTTGAAATAAAAGGACTGGACAAAGATCGGGACCACAAGATTCTGAGTTACATCGGACACGATTAACGTGTAATAAATTACCAAGATGCATTTGAGTTGCACTAGATCTAGTGACCTCTCTCCTTTGTTCTTTTGTCGCTCTATTGATGCTGCGCTGGTCCACACCTTCCAGGATAAAAATTATGCCTGATGGCCAAGACGATCTCACTCTGTTACACAGTCTTAAGTTAGTGCATGTAGCTCAAGCATAGAAATATGGGAAATTTGAGATACAATTTAACATATTTGCAAAGAAAAAAGTTTAAGTGACAAGATCTGTCAAATGATATTGCTGCCCCGATAACAAACATGGTACTGGTTTTGTGTATGGAGTGCAATTTATTCCTTTTTATTTGGTCGATAGAAGCACACCGTTTAAATGACGAAAAGAAAAAGGGATAAAAGAATCATGAAAGGGGCCAGGCTTTCAATTCTAACCAGCGTAGTAACGTACTATTAGCGATATTGCAACTCTAGCTAGTATGCATTTATTTGATTTGCTACCCTGTTCTCTCTTCTCAACTAGTGCAGTGGAGAGAGGACTGTCACTTTTGTACTTTCTTGAGCCTAAAATAACTTAACTTGAACTTGAATAGCTTGATTTGGCCATCTAATTCTCAGAAATCCTGACATGCTATTACTGCAAGAAGTTGACGAACTTCGGCTTCTGCAAAAGCAGGACACAAAAGTGTTCCCACAAAGAGCAGGTAGGAGTTGTATAGAGATATCGGTAACCATAATATCAAAAATAAGAACCCTACCCCTCCAAACAAACATACAAACAAATAAACAAACAAACAACCAAACAATCAAACAAACAAACATGTAAAAGCATAGAACAAAGTTGATTATTAAGACAATTTTGAAAGTTTATTTGAAGAACGTCATAAAGACTAAATCCTAAACCCCCCTATCCTCCTTTTTCAGTGCTTGCACGCACAGACGTAGACGCACAGGCATAATAATTATGTCAACACACACACACACACACACACACACACACACACACACACACACACACACACACACACACACAAATATATATATATATATATATATAAAATCACACACATGCACTCACATATACAGTTCCATGAACTGCAATTCTTTTCTGCAGTTTTTAGAAGCATAATTTAAAAAAAAAAAGTCATTAGTTGTTTTTTTTCCCCAGCTGAATTAAGTGCATTTCCAAAGTTCCAGCAGTACAGTAAATCATAACTATACTGTTTTTGATTCTGTAGCTGATTCACATTTATTCGGACACACCTCTTTTTTGGAAAAAAAGGTTGAGTTAACCGATCTAGAAGATTGGGAGGTAGAATATTTCTTTCCTTTTTAAAATGATGCTTCAACCGGTGAGCACATGCCAGCACTGGGTTCAAACTATAACTGAAGAAAGTATCATGGGGATTACAACCAAAGATCGTACATAACAAATTAGTTCACTCCTCTCTTTGAGCCAATTAAAAAAGTGTTCTCAAAATCCGGTGGTGCCCTCTCCGAAAAGGTGCGGTTTTTGCGAACAGTTATGTGAAAAATAATAAAAGTGAAACTAACATACTGTGCTATTCCTATTCTTCTTCTGGAGAAACGAAAGCGCCATATGAACAAAATGTGCGGACTTCCGCGAACACTTTATTGGACTTGTGAACTAAATGTATTTTGTTATGTACAATCTTTGTTACAACACCCCAGCCGATACCAAGCCACTCGATACAAATTCTCCCCTCTCAGGAATCAAACTCGGGTCACCTGCGCGCGATGGCGAAGCATCTCATAACTATGCAAATTTCAAATTCAAAATAGCTAAAGATTTTGAGAGACTTTACAACTTCCATTACTTTTTGTTCCTCTCTCGCATCTGTGCGTGCTCACAAACCATTGATGCGCATGATGACTCTTTACAGGCAAAAAACTCAGAATCCATCTAGTGACTTTAATCTCAATCCATGATCGTACGATGTCTCAAAGTAGTATTATACTCAAAAGAAAAACAATAACTATAAAAAAAAATTATGACAACGATCTATAAATAAAAAGAAACAATTAATGCATTTCTTGATTAATAAAACCATGGAGTTTTGTTGACTTCCATCCTTCTTCTCTCTCCCTCACCACCTCCCCACAGGCGTGTTATGTGGAAGAAAAGATTTTGGGCAATAAAAGAGAATACACCGCCAAGTGCATAAAGCCAAAACATTGCAACAACGGGGACGGAAATGGACCCAAGGACAGTGCCTGCTGCTATGACAACAAATGCAACGTCGACAGTTTGATTGGCGGCCCAGATGTGAACGGTAAATGACTTTAGTTTTTAAAGGATTGTTGGAAGGACGCACAACTTACTGTTCTTTATTGCCGACCACGCAGTACTTTCAGACACTAAAAGATTGAACACAATATGAGCATATGAGCATATTTTATTATATGCACACATATATTATATATTATACATATTATACATTATATATATATATATATATATATACATTGTATATATATATATATATATATATATATATATATATATATATATATATATGTATGTATGTATATGTGTCTGTCTGTCTGTATGTATGTATGTATGTATGTATGTATGTATGTATGTATGTATGTATGTATGTATGTATGTATGTATGTATGTATGTATGTATGTATGTATGTATGTATGTATGTATGTATATGTATGTATGTATGTATGTATGAATGTATGAATGTATGTATGTAAGTGTGTATGTGTGTATGTATGTGTGTATATGTGTATGTGTGTGTGTGTGTGTGTTTGTATATATATATATATATATATATATATATATATATATATATGTATATATATGTATATATATATATATATATAATATATATATAAATGTATATATGTGTCACGACGTAATGGAATCAGGCTCTTGTCAATTTTGAGGTATGTGGGGTTCATTTGCCTTCCTTTTTTGGTGGAAAAAATATCCACCAATTTAGAATAGAAGTCGAAATATTTGCAACTAAAAGAGGTCAAGGTCGCCTGGTTTCAGGTGTAAAATTAGCGAGAAAATGGCCGACAAAGTTTGGTATAGCCTGGGAGTCCTTGGAAACTTAAAATTTACATTTTTGTGTCTTTAAACAATATTTTTTTCAGTAAAATCCACACAGAAATGTGTTTTTAAATGGACGTAAAAGGTGTTGAGCTAAAAAAAAAAAAAGAAAAAAATTGCCATGGGCCAAAACAATGCTGATTTCTTTGATTTCATTGTTTTGACGTATGTATATATAATATATATAATATATATATATATATTATATATATATATATATATACTAGTAAATATATACTGGTGAGCAAAAGAAACGCAAAAGACTAATTCTATTTTTTGCCATAATCAAATAACTATCAATGGTACAAGACTGAAATGTACACCATTGGTAGTATGTCATATGCTCTTTGGAAATCAAATGTCGCTAATCTTGCTTGTCAGTGACAACTATAGTGCGATAAAAAATTCGTTGTGCAATTTATCCTCAAATATCTCTTTAACAGGTGAATCAATGTCATCCATACTTTGCATAGCAGTTTGTATCAATTTGTCTTAACTAAACCATATTTTTCTAGAACAATTGGGGCTAGATTAAAAATCTTTTCTTCATAAATGTATATAAAATACTTGAAATATCTGTCACACGTTAAATGGTACTGTTCACGCACTTCCCGCTTCTCACACACATTTCGATTACGCATATGGCCTACGTCACAGCTCATCAAAGACAATTTTTATTTGCAAAACTTGTTACAAGAAATTGCTGTTCTAGTGAACACATTTTTGCACTAATGGCTCTCAAAACATTCTTTCAATAAGCATTGTGTCCCGATTAGAAAAACCTGACGGACTTGCTATTAAAAGCTATATATTGCCCCAGCTGTAAACATTTTAAAATCTTTAGAAATCACCCACTTGGATTTTTAATAAGTATTTATAAAGGAATTTTCTAGAATACAGCTTGCAGACGTTTACAAAAATGTTGATCTGTTAAGACAAATTGATACTAGTCACTGTACAAACATTGGAGAACCTATGTTCGATAGTTGAGGAGATATTTGAAAATAAGTTGCACCACGAATTTTTGAGCGCACTATAGACGTTTTGCCCCTTAATTGATGTATGAAAAAAGCCACGTAGTGCGTTAGAAACACGATCTAAATGAGTGAAAAAAGGGAGAAAATCATTCACCTTAGCTCAGCAATAACAGCGGTGGTTAAAAAAATCGGTTTCGTCTTTTCACCTGCACTTGTAACGACAAAGACACCTTCAAGACCTACACGGCAAGAAAACACAATTGGCTGTTTGGAGGGTGGAGAAGGGCCAATTGTTGTGGCCAATCATTTTGGCGTTGACTTCTCGACTATCCACAGACTGACAACCCGTTTTCAGCTCACAAACTCTACGGCGGACTGACAAAGGTCAGGTTGACCCAGATTGGCCGATGCACGTGCAGACAGACAAATTGTCTGGAAGCATCTTGCAAATCGACTTCAAACAGCTACAAGAACTTCAGATTTGATAAGGTGTACCCATGGAAGAGCCAGAAGTTGACTCACAGTGAACCGACGATTGTGAAAGGTTGGCATTAGACGCTATCGACCTTACCATGGTGTAGTCTTGACTGCACACAATCGCCAGGAACGTGTCAACTGGGTTCGGAACCATGCCAACTGGTGTCCGAGAGATTGGTGTTTGGTTATCTTTGCGGGCGAATGCCTACTCTCCATAGATACAACTAACAGGCACCTCAGAGTTTATCAAGAGAGAGTGTGACATTAGTGTGATAACTGTGTCAAAGAGAGGAATCATTGTGGAGGACATGGCATCATGATCTGGGGTAGAATCATGTAGTACCACAAAATAGGACCTGTGATCTTCCAAAATCAAGATCAAGGTCGGGGTCAAGGTGTCAATGCTGCCCGCTGCATAGCACAAGTTCTTGGGCTAACTCTACACAGACAAAATTTGAACTTCGGGTTCCAGCATGATAATGCACGTGTGCACACTGCCTGTTCTACGTAGAGTTTCCTCCAACGCCATGACATCTCTCTGCCGCCTCGCCCTCCCTTAGCCGAGATTAAAACCCAATTGAGCATTTTTGGGTGGGAAGTAGTTAAACGGGACTCGAAGGAAGACAACCAGCACCGAGAACCGGGCAGGAACTGTATGTGGCCATCCAGGAGATATGGAGGCAGATCCCGCTACGTTACCAACAACCTAGTGGCTTCATAGTACCGGATATTTACTGCATTTATCCCATCTACTGGTGGCCATTCCCGCGGCTGAGCATTTTGATGCATTAATCGGAAGTTGAAAAATGTATTCCATTGAAATTAAAAATTCACAGTGATGCCCCACGTATCCCTTCATAATGCTAGAAAACCGTTTGTGTTTAAGCTCCCCCGTTTTGTTAAAATGGAAACCAAACATTATCACCATTACAAAAGTAAACAGGATTTCGCGTTTCTGTTATATATATAATATTAAGTTTTTTAAAGTTTTAGTAAGTGTTTTATGGCACTTGCAACAGAATAAGGTCATATAAGTGCCGAAGTCCTGAAAGTCCTAAAATGCTATGTTTGGTCAACCCTTCTATATGGCTGTGAATGCTGGACAATCACTAAAGACAGTGAAAATAAAAGAGAAGCAACAGACATGTGGTTTCTTAGGAGACTGCTAAGAGTATCGTGGAAGGAAAAGAAATCAAATGAGGTAGTGCTTGATGAAGCCCACATGGGACGCTCAATGTTAAAAACAATCAAGAAACGACAAATGCTGTTTTTGGGACACCTGAATAGATATAAGGGTCTTGAACATCTAGCTCTCACTGGCAAAATTGAGGGCAAGCGAGGCAGGGGTAGGCCCAGAACAACATACTTAGGGAACCTAAACAAATGGGTAAAAGGGAAAGATCAGGGAAACGTAGCTTTTTTGAGAGCATCCGAGCAAAGGAATGAATGGAAAACCATGATCGCCGATGTCTGTCGCAGATCTGGCACTGGATGATGATGAAGTGCCGAAGATTAGAGGTGTTACAAGAGAGTAACAAACACAAAAAGAAGAAGGGGAGATAAAAACTATAGATGTTTGATAGGAAAGAAAATGCAAACAACACCAGAGCACCCGCCAACCACCCTCATATATATACATGTACATTATATATTTTTTAAAATACATACATATATATATTAATATTATATATATATATATATATATATATATATATATATATATATATATATATATATATATATATAGAGTAAGTGAGAGAGAGTGAGTGAGAAACTGAGAGAGAGAGAGAGAGAGAGAGAGAGAGAGAGAGAGTGTGTGTGTGTGTGTGTGTGTGTGTGTGTGTGTGTGTGAGAGTGTGTATGCGTAAGTGTGTGTTTGTGTTCGTGTGTGGAATGTTTTTCAAACTCCTCGGTTCTTGTATTATCTCTACTCATTCTTGAAATTTGGTTATGAAAAAGAAGGGAACATGAATTCGTTCATGGACTTAACTTGTAGGCTATTGACGGAATGCAAAGAAAAATTATAACAAAGTCATATAAGTCATAAGACAATAACGTTTTAATGCATATGAGGCGGTATCAGAGCCTCTTTCGTATATATATGGTATGTATGACACATTTAGGTCTATAAATATTTGTACCTCTTTCTATAAGTGTCTTTTTGTATTCTTTCCTCCTTTCAGCACCGGAGATATGTGACTATGGTTTATCCCTGGAGTGTGCCCTGGACTTCACTCGCACTTACATCCGGAGTGATAATTTTAGCTGCAGGTACACACTTAACATCTGTTATGGTTCATGCCTTATTACCGCTTTACATCGTTTTGTTTTTTTAAAATTAGTTTAATGACAGCGACCATTGGACTTCTTTGAAAATAGGCCTTTCATTTGTCCATGTAGTTGTCGAGTTTTAGCCAATATCAGGTTTGCGTGACTGTCTATCTATCACTTTGTCTGTCTGAGGTCTGTCTGATCTTAGCACGTCCTCTCTCCCACTTGTCACTGCATTATTTTTCCTTGATGTCTGTCTGTGGTTAAAAGCTTTTTTGTAGGCCTTGTGTAAAATTTCACTTGATTTAATTCTCTTTGTTTTCTAAGGTCTCTTCATTCAACACCCTTCTGAATCTTGCTGCTTTGAACTTTCCCCCAAAACTCTCAAGAGCAGTGCATTTTGTCTTTTTTTTTTGGTTGGCTTCATTTATGAGATTGTTCAGACCGAAATCTATAACCGTAAGATAGTGAATAAGCCGTTCAATTATAAACTGTTAAATTTGTAAATTTCCGAAAATATTTTTATGTGTGTGTAAAGTACGAGCGTATTTAAAAGATAACGGGGAGCGTAAGTGCCTGCCGTGTATCAACGGCATTGACTGCGACCGAATTTAAATAATAATAATAATAGAATTTTATTTATACAGTGTTCGATCACATACAAGTGTAAGTTCTGTGTATAACTACCGAAAGCTAATATTGTTCTTTTAGTTTTTTTTGGCATGTGCCTTATCCAGATTCAGTTTTGCTTGTGCTAATTTATTCGCTTCATGGAGAATCAAGTTGGAGTGTTTCCACGCTCGTTCCTATTATGAATACAAATGTATTCTATCTTGTTGTTTGTTTGTTTTTCGGTTGTTTTTTTCGTTTTTCTTTTGATATTGACGCCATCTGATTAGTAGAAAAATATGCGTATGATAATGCCCAATAATGTATTATGTACGTAATTTTTAGAACATTATAACTGTTACATAGAGCTGTTCAAGATAATTATAGATGTCTGTGAAGGATCTGAGAACAATGGTGATTTTAGAAATGACGGTGGTGGTGGTGTTAAGGAAGGATGTGGGGTATATGATTTTTACGAAGACATGCTTCTTCTAGGTTGCTTCTTAAAAAAAAAAAGTGTTAGCGTTAGTTCTATCTTCCTCTGCTCTGACGAGTCACGAGGGACGTGGGCACCCGCTATCCCGTTCCCTACTGGAACCATCTTTAATGTCACCGTGAAGTTCCGAAATGGTGGGCACAGTCTCTTCTAAGGTGACCTTGCTAGTGTTAGCCTATGCTAGCGGGTCCAGACAAGTGAAGAGAGGACCTTAGTAGGTAGACAGTACAGTGGCAGATATTATGTTGGGGATTTCGTAAGGGGGTTGTAGGTAAGAAGTTGACAACCGGGATATAGACTTAATACTTATTTAAACATGCAGTTGCGGAGATCCCGACACCGGGTCCTCGAACCCGAATCGAAAGAGAACAACTTACAAACAATATTGTATCCCCTCGTCTCTGGGGAAGCGGCCTCAAACTCCCCAATCAAGCACCCTGTGTCTGCATCTCCACGGTCTCGCTAAACGTTTGTGTAATTTCCATAGTGACGTTTGAAAATGATTCTTGAATTTGACAACTCGTTTACTGTGTATATGCCACCAGCTAAGTTTGCATAGATGTGCTTTTGTTGGAAAAGTTACAGTCGATAGTGGACGAGTGTGTGTGTGTGTGTGTGTGTGTGTGTGTGTGTGTGTGTGTGTGTGTGTGTGTGTGTGTGTGTGTGTGTGTGTGTGTGTGTGTGTGTGTGCGTGTGTGAGTATGTGTCTGCGTCCGTCGTGAGAGAGAGCGAGTGTGTGTGTGAGAGAGAGAGAGAGAGAGAGAGAGAGAGAGAGAGAGAGAGAGAGAGAGAAAGAGAGAGAAAGAGAGAGAGAGAGAGAGAGAGAGAGAGGGAGAGAGAGAGAGAGAGAGAGAGAGAGAGGAGAAAGGGAGAGAGATAGAGAGGGAGAGCGAAAGTAAGACGAGGATAAAGAGACGAGGGGAGAGAGAGAAAGAAAGAGAGAGAGAGAGAGAGAGAGAGAGAGAGAGAGAGAGAGAGAGAAAGAGAGAGAGAGAGAGAGAGAGAGAGAGAGAGAGAGATCGTTCATGAAGCGCTAAACATTATAATAATAATAATAATAATAATAATAATAATAATAATAATAATAATAATAATAATAATACTAATAATTGCATTTGTATAGCGCATATCCAAGCACGAGAGCATGCTCTATGCGCTTTACAACTATTATTACCCCAGCAGACCCTCTGAGAACACTCAGAAACATTCTCGCCTTCCGCGGAAGATGAGTAGAGTGCTGAGGGAACGGTTATTCTAAAGAGACTTGCCATCTTTTCTCCCAAACATAAGGCGTCCTTCAACTTTGTCTAAAGGGGTTTTGAACAATGTTACCATGCAATGTAATTCCAGCAAACTATATATCTTTTTTTAGAAAGTACAAACAAACAACAGCAACAAAAAAAAAGAAAATTTCCCCATCCGTTCCATTCAGATTTGAAGGGCTGGAAAAAAGATATTGATATAATATATTATAAAAATAATTTTATCTTACCGCCGCAGGCGCTATCTATGAACTTTACGAAAACCTGCTTTCTCTTAGCTCCAGTTCCGATTCAAACAAAATTCGCGTAATATATAGATTTTGTCGCTTTTCTGTAGCGTATCTTGCTGTGGTTAGCGGTGTTTAATTGAACTTCTGTTACACCTGGCCCTCGTTCACTGAAACCAAAACGTATGTAATAGTCAGTCATGGGAAAACGTGAGGAAGTTTTAAAACAAATCGTATGAAATACACGTATTTCCAGAAGTTTTTAAAGAGGGAAAAAATGAATAAACATGTGCTCAATATACGTCTTTGACACCACAGTGCTCACATTGTTCAGTATTTTTAATGCCTAGGCGATTGAGTAGAATGTTACTTGGGAAGATGTTATGGATGATTTTAAAACGCAATAATCTAAGTCGAGATTCTTTCGTTGACTTGTGTGCTATGTTGTATTTACATGTTATATCAATGTTCATTTTTCTCAGTCAAAAATTCCGACTTCAAATCTCTACATGTCCTTTGTATTTTAAAAGTTGTCGAATCTCTCAACTCGGTTTGCTCACCGTTTTCTTACCTTTCGTATTCACTTCCCTGGTGTTCAACAAAAATTCCTCAGTGTTGTTGTCACTGAAGTCTTGCCTCCACTATAATATTGTTACATCGACAGTCTCGTGGTCAGGCTACCAGACTCGTAACCGTGAAGTTCCGAGTTCGGGGCGGGGAGGGTGGGGGTGTCGATGTTCATTATCGGTTCAACTCTCCCCAACGTTGTGTCGAAGGGAACGACACTTTGCAGGAATTTTCCTCTCTTTACCCAGGTGTGAATGGATACCTGGCCATGTACAGCGAAAGATTTGGTCATTTAGTTAGCCTTCTTATTCATTTATCTTCTATGCGTTCACTGTTAGATCTCAGGGGTAGTCGATTGCTGGTTTTTCAACCTGCAGTGCAACTGAATTTTACTTCTGCGACAATTTTTCCTTCTTAGTAATGCCCCTTGCCTTCAGACGATTTCAAAGGTGCTCTATATTATGTTTTTATAATGACTAGAGTATTTTCATTTTGGTAGGAATTAATTTGGAGTTTTGCCCAGGTGGCGGCCCAGGCCTACAGTTATCGATTTTAAGACCACCAATGGATCTTTAACGTGCGCAACTTGCACTCGGTGCCTCCAAGATTCCGCTCCTTTACCCGAGAAGAATAAGTGTTCGATTGTACCAACGCTAAAATCAGGAGTGTGGCTGAAAAACAGCAATAAGAAGGAGCCAGGAGAAGCAGTATATGTAGAAAGAGGCAAGAATAAAGGAGAGAGGAAGCTGAGGGTGGACAGGGTGAAGGGTGGAAAGAAGAAAGTGAATCATTAATGAAAGCTGATGACAGGACATATATAGATAACAGGAAAGGAGGTGAATATTCCGTCGCTGACAGGTGTCTATCCTGGAACCTGTTGAATGAGAGGTGAACACCGTATCTCTGTACCACGACCCCCCTCCTCCCCCCCCCCTCCCCGTTCCCCATTTGTTAGTGCATAACGCCTGTATAAAGGCGGCAGCTTGCAATTACGCTTCCCTAGAATTTGAGATTATTTCAGAATGCTGTCAGGCCTTCTGAGGTATCTATATACTGTACATGAAGAGATTTCTTAAAGCACATAGAGTTTACCGGTGGGCGAGAATTTAAGCCGTGTAAATGGTTTTGCTGTTATTATTTTTTTTCTTCGTGTCCTCTACCAGCTCTGCAATGGCAGACCTTAGATGTATCCAGGAACACCGTGTCACGTGTGGAGCAGGAAACAAGCTGTACAAAGCAGCCACAGAAATCTTCCTGAAGCTGGCCACGTCTTCGTGCGTATTAGACTCTAACGACCCTGAGGACTGTTACTCCCTGTCCATCTTCTCCATGCAGACAATGCTCTCAAACGCCTTCAGCAGCCAGGGAAATACTGTTTGCGTGTAAGTAGTTGGAAAAGAGAATATATAGCAAGAATTTCATGTTCATATCCGTTAGAATTGATAGTAACTCATCTTCAAAATTTTAGTGTGGCATCTTGTTCTGAATTTTATGTCGAGCGTTTTCTTGTAATGCTGATTTCAGAATATTGTTTTGGATTTCCAGAATCCTTTGACTCAATCCATTTCCCATCATCCTCAGCGGCCTGAATGAGACACAAGCAAGTGTGAAATCCATGATCTCTTCTAACCAATGCTCGTCTGCCGGGGCAGCTAACCTAGAGCAGATGCTTTCCTTTGTGGAGACGATTGTGTCCAGCTACTGTCAACAGGACCAGTGCATCTCCGTGCCCTCTACTAGCCCGCTCATTGGAAACACGGAGTGCTCAGGAAAAATCTTCGAAGGCATCAAGCTGATTTATCAGGCATATTCGGAGCTGGAAAAGAACAATGATGATGTAGATTGCGGGTGAGTGAAAGCATCCTAGGCTCACATGACGGTGCAAATGGCAATTACTTGATTTTATTTTTTTTGCTGCCTCACAGTAAACTTTATCGAGGATATGCAGTGGAAAGTGTTAGTTTATGTTGCGTTGTACAATACAAATCAACACAATGAGAGCTAGGTATATAGGTGTCTGTGGTGCAGCAGTTAGGAGCTAGTCGTTGCACTCAAAAGACGTGAATTCAAATGTAAGGCAACAAGAAACAAAACGGGCAGTCGAATTGTCATTCATAACGTCAAGCAGTACACACTACGTTTGCTTATTGCATGTTGATGGGCTCACACTTAGAACTTTTCCAATCAAAAATGTGTTAGTTGTTTCATGTAGTCATTGGCCTCAAGACACAAGCACTTACAATTTTTAATCGGTTCCTAAAACTTGATTTATTGCAATTTGAGTGCCTCGGAGTAAGTAATGTTAGGCCATACATTATTTATGTGAGTGGACGTGTGGGCTGTTTTGTCATAAATGTATTTTACTAAAGTAAACGTGTCTGTAAGCAAATCTACATTACTTCGGAGACTTCTCTACATCACAAAATTCAATATTGCTTAACTCTAAAGGGCAGCGACCCGTTAGCTGGGTGTAAAATGGGTTAAAGGGAAAAATACGAGCAAGCAGTCCTCTGCCCTCCCCCCCACCTTATAAAGATAATAATTATAAGACAACTGACAATACTTGACATCGCTTGACTTATGCAGCCAAAAAAAAAATGTTTTTCTCCAGAATTTTGGTAATCTCTGCTGCCAGTGCTCGTACATTGCTTGAGAGTTGCACTTTGAGCCCTCTTGTGTGGAAAAAACTGGATGCCCTTGACAAAGAAGTGGATTCGCAATGTAAACCAGATAGATCTTTGCAGATTCCTGAGGTGAGTCGTTGAAGTAGATGTCATCGTCCACGCCATTCTTTATCTCCCACCTTATGTCCATCTCACATTCTCACCCGTTCTGTCTGTCTCCACCTCTCTCGCCGTTTAAAAAAAAAATCATTTACCTTATTATGTTCATCCCATTGTCTTTGTCTGTGTCTGTACCCCTCTGTCTCTCTGATTCTTTCTCCCCCTTCCCATCTTTCTTTTTCTTGTCTGTCTGTCTGTCTGTCTGTCTGTCTGTCTGTCTGTCTGTCTGTCTGTCTGTCTGTCTGTCTGTCTATTCATTTCCCCCTTTCTACCCCCTCCCTCCCCGTCTCATTTACACGCGAAATTAATACCCTCTTACTCCTCCGCTCAGTATTCTTTTCTCTATCTTTTCACACACATCCCCCCCCCCTCTCTCTGTCTGTCTGTCTGTCTCTGTCTCTCTCTCTCTCTCTCTCTCTCTCTCTCTCTCTCTCTCTCTTTCTGTTCACTAATCTGTTGTTTAATTTGTCTGTCTGTCTCACACAAACAAATTTACACAAACGCTCACTTTCTCTGTCAGTTGTTACGTGACACACCCATGGGTCTATGTTTACTTGTCAGCATTGTATAGCTTCATTTTTATTTGAGTGTGTAGATTATGATCTATACATCTATTCTGAAGAGTGTGTATGGATAAATGTGTGCATGAGTGTTTTCATGTGCGATAGCCTGTCCCTATACCTGCATGTGGGCCTTGGAGCATGTGTGTGTGTGTGTGTATGTGTGTGGCTGGGCACCTACATGCGTGCGCTCGCACGCGGGCGTGTGTGTGTAAGAGTATGTCCATGATTTTGAGTGTACTACTTCTGTTCAGCCCAAGGTAAAGAAAACTGACTCAGTGAAACAGTTTTTAATTCTCAAGAGCACTGTTTTGGTCTGCTACGAGTAGGCCTATTTCTTTTTCATAGGCTAACTTCAACTGTCATGACAATATCACAAACGTTTTGACTTGCATAGAACTAAAAGTGGTCATTACACGCCCATAATACTTTATTTCTTCTCATATTATTTCACCTTCTGGGTTTGATTTGATGTGTGAGAAAATAGATCCCTTGTGTTGCCTCTAATGATCTTATTACATTCATTTATTGTTGAAAGCCCTGGGATAAAAAAGGCCAAAAAAAAAAAAGACTTGATGGAGACTATTGAAAATGTTTTACCCTGAGTGCTTCATCGGGAGAATGAGAAAACAATAATATTACGTGAATTCATTATTACTTTGGCTCTCAAAATGAATAAAACTGTACCGGCTTCTATGGTGTGGTGGTAATTGGTAATTATGGGCACTCGTCGCACTCAGAAGACAATGTGTCACTCCGCCTTCGATGGCCCTGGCAGGCAGGGTGAAGCCCGCCTAGCCTATTCACTCAGTGATGTAAATTGTGTCAATGGGGACGCAGATTGCAGAAACACCTACATTAAAAATAGAAATGAGCTGTTTAACATAACACTCATTTGTATCTTCTGGTTATCCCCTCTTACGTTGGCTCGCAAATACTTCCAACAACGCATTATACAACAAGCGTCTTTGGTGTAAAGGCTGGATCATAGATTAGTGTTATATAATACCTTAGACTGTGCTCTTTAATGTAATTCCGGTTCACTATGGAGCACAGTTGCACATCATTTGACCAGAGAGTCTGATTTGACTTAACTTGGAGCCAAATAAAGGGCAAGGGGAGTAAGGTACCGTGCACATTTGACTGTGACGAGACTGGTGTCTTGTTGTCATTTTTGTGCTCAGTGCTCACATCGCACACGCTTCACCTTGAAAGTTTATTTGGAGAGCAAATAACAGTGGCCATCACAGTTTCCAATCTAGGATAATTCAAGTCTATGGCCTGGGCTCTTTGTCACCCATAAAACGTGAGTTGATTCTTGAGCGGAGACAATTTTTGTTTGTTTGTTTATCTTTAAAATGTGTCCGAATTTTTCATTTGATGTAGTAATCCAAACATTTCTGCAATTGGCTCTAATAAACAGGGTTGTAGCATCCTGTTTTTAAAAACCAAAATTGTATCGATCAAGCCGCGTAACATAATTTACATCCCATCTCTCTGTTTCAAGGGTTGTCTCAACATTTGTAATAGCAAGGCGTTCTACAACTTCACCGCGCAAGTTTCAGCATCCCTCACTGAAGTGACAGCTAACGATACAAGCTCTTGCTGGTTGGTTGTGTTTCTCTCTTTCTAAATCCTGCACTGATATCGTCACAAACTCATAGCAGCCTCATTCAATTATCCTAAAACTTATTTATTTAAACATCCATATTATAATTATACATCATTTTTATCGTTTTCTTTCTTATTTTTCTTCTCTGACGTGCCTTATCACTTCCAGGTTATGATCATTGCTTCCTCTTTCCTTCTATAGGTCCTTCTCCTTTTTGTGTTCCTCCTCCTCTTGCTTATATATTCTTCCCTTTATAATATACCCATATACTTCCACTCTCCCTGTACCTCCTCCTTCTTCTCTTCCTCCTCCTCCTCCTCCTCCTCATTCTCCTCCTCCTCCTCCTTAATTCACTTCACCATGATCATCATGATCATCGTCATAATCATTATCATCATCATCTACTCACTATGTTGTGTATACTCTTTCTTTACCCAGGCACTTGACTCAACTCGAAACGGCTTACAACAGCCTGACAGTGGGTTGCACCTCCGTACAGCAGGCCGACATCTCCGCTTGGGTCTTTAGTTCTATGTACAGCACCATAAACGAATGTAAACAAATCATCCCCACCTTCACCTTTGACCTGCCACTTCGCGAAGATATTTACTACGAGGCTGTTATGTGTAAAGCAAACCTGAAGACTGGCTTAGAGAAGGCGTTTGCAGATAAAGACAACCAGGTTTGTTCGTTTTATGTTCGTGACACTAATTTGTAGAAAAATGAATTAATCTTTCACAATGTTGGTGTTCAGGCATTCTACCACTGCCTCGCTCTTCGCAATAGTTTTTTCTTTTACTTGAATGAGGTGCAACACTCAGTCCAATAAAGAAAAAAAATATCTCTATTTTTCAGTTTGTCGAGTAGGCTATTTAGGGACAAAAGTTTACTTATTGGTCATTGTCATGTAATCACAGTAAACATTTTTGTTACAGACTCATAATTCAATTATGAATAACTTAAGTAGATATCAATTAGAAATCTGCAGGATGAAGGCAAAGTGACCAGGACATACACGCAAAGTTTAAATTTATATTCTGTCAGAATAAAGATCATAGATTTTTTTGGTGTGTTTTAAAAAATAAAGTAAAGTTCACCTATGTGTCTGCACTTGTGAAAAACTGATGCGGGGGGAATGTTTTCAAGAGATAGGCGCCTGTGTCTTTAAACACATATTTGTCACAAAGGAAGAAAACTTGAACAGCGAGGAGTGCGATCATGGGTACAGAAACAAGAGTTGTTCGAACCCTCCAAAAAACAAAGGTGTTTTCCTGCAGCTGACGTTATATCTATCTTATTAAGCTATCAGGACCTGCCAGTATACTTCTATGGTTAAATAGTAATTTACCAGCATTTGTTGGGTAGAAGTAGTAGTAGTAGTAGTAATAATAATAATAATAATAATAATAATAATAATAATAATAATAGAGTAATATAATAATAACAATAGCAATGATGATATTAATAATAATTATAATAATGATAATAATTTTATTATTAATATTATAATAATAGGCCTAATAATAATAATGATAATAATAATAAAAATAATATTAATAATAATAATGATAATACTACTACTACTACTACTACTACTAATAATAATAACAATGGTAATAAGGTAGTGCTATAAGAAGATTGCGTAAGACACTCACTGATAAGTGATTAGGAAAATACAGTTTCTAGGACATTCGAATCAATATTTAGGGCTTGAACATCTTGCTCTCACTGAAACAATAATAGGTAAAGAAGCAAAGGCTAGACGAAGAATATCTTGCAAAGAGAATTTTGAACAGTGCATGATGGGAAAATGCCATGATAATAATACTTTTTTTTACGAGCATCCAAGCAGAGAAATAAGTACCGAACCATGATGGTTGATGTCTATGTCAGATCTGGTACTTGACAAAGAAGGTTAAGGAAAGCTATGATGTTCCTGCAGCTGTTGTATGTAGCCAAACGATAAGTGAGAATGAAGTTGATATTCTTAAATCTTTTTCTTTCATATTTCGGCATCTGGGCTGAATAAGGCATATATATGGGAATCTAGCTTGGAAGGGAAACTCTCTTTCCAACTCCCCTTTCCACATACACCACAGACTTGTAACCTTTATCCTGGTATATAAATGGGACATTTTGAGAGAAATACTGAACGGATACTATTCTTTAAATATGTTATTTTTAAAAATGTAATGAATATACTGGAAATGAAAATGAAATGGAACACAAGTTGTTTTTCCCAAGTTTATTGACGCAGAGAAACTCAGCTAAAATTATTAAATTTTTCCTGAAAAAGTATCATTTAAGCATGACAGGTAAATATAGTTCAATCAGAGAAGGGATGGAGTTATAACCATTACAGTCAAGACATTTTTTAAAAATTTTCGTGCGGCAAAGTAGCTGATGATGTTACTGAAGTCCAATTCAATGCAGTTTATCTGACTCAATGTTCCCCTTAATCTAGCGCTGGATGACATTCTATGGGACTAAAAATGTTTCTGTAAATTTTTCTCTCATCCTCTCTCTCCCGGCAGAAACTTTGTGATGTCATCGCCGCCTTTAACGGTTGTGACATCAACCTGCCAACCTCTGTGGTCAATCTCATCATAGGGAGTACCAGAGAGTTGGTGAAGAGCCTTGAGGACATGAATGTGTGCGGCTCAAGCACGACATCAGGAAGTGAGTACACGGCACACTGTTCGCAGCTTAATAAGAGTTTTATAGTACTTGCAACACAAGAAGGTCATATAAGTGCTGAAGATTAGAGGTGTTACAAGAGAGTACTTAACAAATGCAAGAAAGAAAGAAGAGAGATCAGGATGACTGCTTTTTTAAAAGAAAGAAGGAGCAAACTGCACCAGAGCACCGGACAAGCACCTACATTTGCAGCTTAATCGCGCTTTTTGTTACTATTTCTGTTGTTGTTGTTGTAGCCATTGATGCTGGTGCTTCTGTTCTTGTTTAAAATCATGGATGTAGCTGATATAATGGCTAAGTTCTTTGTGTCTGCACTAAAAAGAAGTACGTTTGATTCCTGCGTCTGCAGGTTATTTCATCCAGTATCCCTGTATGTCTTCAGGGATGCTGAAACCCTCTCTACTCGAGTTGACCTTGGCTGGGTCGAAGCATCCCACCTCCCAAATGAACACATTTGCAACCAATCATTTATAAGCATTCATGCTGATTCTTTATGAGTCCAAAATTTCTTCGTATAATATCATGTTTCCTCTTGTACCAGTGTCAGAGAAAAGTTTACATATTATTTGATAATAAATAAGAACTATTTAAGGTCTTACTGAACTTTTTTTTTTCTTTTGTCCAGCAGACACCCGAACCGTGCGACAGGACTTGGGCTATTGCTACAATCTAGACTTTGCAGCAGTCATCAGGGAGTTAAACTCTTTACCAGATATTGTTACTGCAACAATGGACACTCGAGATGAGGCTTGCAGGTTAGTGGCGCAATTCTCAACTTTGTTTACATTTTCAAGCTTTGTTTTTAATCATTTGTACCAGCAAACCATCTTAAAAAACGAAGAAAAATTTATTTTTTTGTTCTTGTAGAGATTGTTTACTTTGGTGAATACACATAAACATTCATCTCTTATGGTATTACTCAGTTCAAAGTCCATTCTTTTCAGATTCATAAACACTAATACTCGTCCATAAGGTGAAAAACAGTCGATGTGCAAATGTGTTAGTTATAGTCACGTTTCTGTTGTGTGTATCTGAAGTTTTGGTATATTATGCAACTTACTGATGTGTGAATGGTGTATCTTTCTCTTTCTTTTTCATTTTTCTCTCTTGCTTAAAGTTTTATAAAACAAAGCTAAACGTGTTTTCCACGTTCTCATGTTGATCACATCATGTAGCCTACCTTTGTTAACTATCTTTGCCATGGTGAGCATTTCTATCTAAATATTATTGGGAAGAACTGTATCAGGCTGTTTTCACAGTAACTTAATAGATGAACATTATGATTAGTTACTTTTGCCTCTTACTTAAGAGCTAACAGTATCTGGAATTAATAGTAAAGACCCAGGTGTCATGCAATAATGTTTCCCTTAAACAAAACAGAGAAAGCAAAGGGAACATCTCCGTTTGCTGACCAGCTGATCAAATTTCTGCCTTGTCTACTAGACACACGTTTAGCTCAGTAAGATGACTCTACAACTATGGAAGCTATCCATAATTTTAGGAAGAAAATATCTATTTCATCAGACATACTGTTGTCACAGTTTAAATTGCAGATTCAGAAAAGGATCTTCAATTGCTTCCAGATATTGTTTTGACGGAAAATGACCTTAAGGAACTATTTTTGGAGATTAAAACAGAATGTATGGTAATATCTAAACAAAGAACACCCCAAAAAGCAACAAATCACATATAAATTTTATAATTTCATAAGCAAAAATGAACTGATTAAGTAAGTCTTAACACATATCCAGGTTATGTCATTACATCCTATGACAAATGTACCATAAAGATAAAGCAAATAATTGCAATAGCAACTGACAGTTTAGTTAGAATGAGGTCAATCTTGACATATAGAAATATCTCCATGACAACCAAAATAAAAGTTAAAAAAAGACTAAGTGTAAGCAGCCCTTCTATACAAATGTGAATGCTGGAACAACTACAAAACACAAGGAAATCAGAACTTGAAGCTACAGAAATGTGGTTTCATAGGAGACTGTAGAGAATATCATCGATAAAAAAAGAAATTCAATGGGATAGTACTGAAAGAAGCCCGAATGGGCAACTTTTAAAAATAATTAGGAAGAGACAGAAGCAGTTTTTTTAACACTTGAATCATCAAAAAGGCCTGCAACATCTCGTTCACACTGCAAAAATAGTAGACAAAAAAGGTAGGGCCAAGATAAAAAACAACTTACTTAGAGAACTTGATCAGATGGGAGATGGGGAACAACAAACACAATATCATCTGAGCTGAGAAATGAGTTGCAATCCAAGGTCACCAGTGTCTGTTTCAGACATCTTCTGGATGATAATGAAGACTACTTTCCTTTTCAAATGATAAAAGAAAAGAACAAAACAAAAGAAAACAGTGTAACTTGCATTAATGCATGTAAGCCATTTAGCTTCTAGAATGTCAATATCTATGCTTGTTTTACATCAAAAGGATATTCAGGGTGATGCAACTATCTCTTACCCAGCCAAACCAGCAGCTTTGATAGTCTATCCGTAATCTTCACTTGTAAAAGAAAAGTAGTATCTCTCTCCCTGTATCTTTGTGCATCACAGCAATCTTATCCGCTGTTTCCTGCTCCTGTGCACATAGCTGCAACCTCAACTGGACCGGCTCCCCCCTCCCCCCCAATGGAGACCCCAATTGTCACACGCTAGGTCAAGAAGTTCAAAAAGAAAAAGGGAGGGGCAGCTATACTTTCATTTCCCTACTTCACCTTTACCAAACTACTTACATTCACAGAAACAGCGATGAAATTGTGGCTCGGGCCAAGAAAGCATCCACGGACTGCAGCGACAGACTGCCTCCAGTGTTCAAGGATGCACTTGACATCCTCGTGGAGCACATTGTAGAAAGGAACTCAAAACTTTGTCTCGACCTGCACTATGAGGATCAGCAGTGTGACCTGGACAAGGTAACCTTTTGCTTTTCTAATGACCTTCCTTCTTGAACATTTGTCATTTTGGAGGTGGGATCCATAACTGAATGGTCTGGGCAGCAAAAATGAAAATTAAAAACAGGGGGGAAGGGAGGGGTCTGTCTGTGTCTATGATTTGTAAGACCAGACCTTTGATAGGCAGATGAGCTCATAAACTTAGCTACAGAACGTACACACTTTTGAGTTAAGATGATGTAGCAATGCCAGAGTGCATAATATGAATCCGAGTGATACCCCATCAGAAGGAGAGTTGTGCCTCCTAATGGTGGGACTGTTAACTTCATTTTTGCTCCTGCTCTTATTTGGACCTCGTAGACATGACCATACAAGTATTCTTCAAGCAAAATGAATGCCATGGTTACATTTGGATTAAAAACAGTGTTTTCTATTTCATTGAACTCAGTTTACTTTTTAACATGATTTTACTGCCTTTAGTGAGAAATGAAAAAGAAGTCATGTCCAAATTGTAGATTTACAATAATGCCTGTTAACACCAGGCAGCTATAGTCTGTTATAGAGTTTGCAAAATAACATGCCCACTAAATATTCTAGTGTTGATTCAATTGTTTGAAAACAGAGGATTTGAACATCAAGTGAATGTAACTGACCTGTTGTAAAACTGAGAAAGTAACTGATGCTAGATTTTAAAATGTTTGCAGTTAGAATGGCTTTGTTTTAAGTATTAAAATTATACACAAATTCATATAATTATGAAGAGCTCACAAATGATTAATGATTATTTCAGATTGACAAATGCTGGTCTGACTTTGACACAATTTGTCTATATGCTGCTCTTGCTGATGGCACACTGTGCAGGTACATAGAGAAACATGTTTAGTAATTTCTTAGTAAATCAATGGTATTGTAAAAAATCCTTTACTAATCTCTTCTGTTTTGTCATTAAATTTGAAAAAAAATCTCTTTCCCCTGTCTCATCTGTGCACAACTCATCAGTTTCGCAGGAATATGCAGTGTTGTAGCTATTGGGCTATTATTCAGATATTCCCAATTTCCGGACTGGTGAGCTGAGAAAATAGTGTCAAATTCCTTCCCTGTGGGAGACATTGCTATATTTGCCTCATTTTACTCATCCGGGCATTACTTCCTTCTTCTACCTCCTCTTCTAGCTTTGTTCTTTCCTCGTCCTCTTAAGAAAGCTCATTCAGTTGATATTCTTTAACATATTTATCACACATTGTTAATGCACCTGCCCTGGTCTTGACTGGACTGATACATGTGCATCTCACATTAAGATGCTCCTTTTTATGGGAGGAGCGACCCTCAAGGTTCATTTTCTATGTTTATTGCCCGAGATCAAATCTAAGTGCACAAGTTAGGCATAGAAAAATCGCTTGATATGAAGTCTTACTATTGCATAGCTACAGCGGTTGCTATAGAAACTGCTGCCATCTTGAAAATAAACAATGAATTTCAAATTCCTTAGGCTTTCTTATTTACTGACCAAATTTGGTGAGAGTATACCTGAACTGGGTCCCTAAAAGTGTAAAAGAAAAATTAAACGTGAGAATTTTCCCCATGTATTATATTATATAAACCTTTTCTAAATGTTTGTTGCACAAGCGCTTGCCAATGGAAAAGTGTTATTTTTTTTGTTGCAAATGTTTGTCTATTACATTGATAGAAGTCTTGCCATCTATGTTTCCTGAAAGTTTCAAGTCGAGGAAGGAGTAAGGGAAAAACTGCTAAAAAAATTACATTTATTGTGGAAATTTATTCTATTTTAACCCACCCTCATGTTTTCAAAGGCAATTTACGAGAGTAAAGACGTTCTCAATTGTCTCTTTGCTAGTTTTAGACAAAGAACTGGTTGATCTTTATAAATCAGCTCTCTCTCAACATCTCAATTTGCATACCTTGACTCAGAATCAGCCAAAGTGAGGGTTGCTCCTCCCGTTAACTGTTTAATGTATAGAATCAGAAGGAGTCCAAGTGGATAGAGGTATATAAATAATCCCACGTCCCACTAAATGTTTCTGCGACACTAATGTCAGCTGATGTTATCATAAAAGTTCACAAAAGAACATACACGCACCCATCCTCCACCCCCACACACACACTTCGCGCCTGTCTACACATATACCCATTCTCTCTCTCTCTCTCTCTCTCTCTCTCTCTCTCTCTCTCTCTCTCTCTCTCTCTCTCTCTCTCTCTTTCTCTCTCTCTCTCTCTCTTTCTCTCTCTCTCTCTCTCTCTCTCTCTCTCTCTCTCTCTCTCTCTCTCCCCCTCCTCTCTCTCTCTCCCCTCCTCTCTCTCTCTCTCTCTCGCTCTCTCTCTCTTTCCCTTTATCCTTTTCTTTCTTCCTCTCTCACACACACTCAGAATACAATGTGTATATATGTGTGTGCACACACACAAACGGATATTAATGAATATACATATGTATAAAGATAAGTCCCATAACGTACAATGATATTATTTCAAGAGTCTTTCCCGTTTAAACAGATAATCTTAATAATTATCACCACCTACAATTTTCAGACGCGCAAAGTTTGCTCTGGAGTGTACTTACCGCTTCACCCAAAACTGCAGCGGCAGTGATGGTGATAAGGCTTTTGTTGTGAGAAGGAATACAAAAGCACAGGTGAGGAGGATTGTGGGAAACAACTGTCCACTTCTCACAGCCTTCTTGTTTTGCAATGGTAAGTCGAGGACTAGGTTTTTTTTGAAGTAGTGGAATCGGTGATGCCCTTTTAAAGAATGAGAACAGCTGTGTGTATATTTTCATCTTCTCTTCCTCTCTTTTTCCCTTTCTTTCTTTCATTCATTCTTCTTTTTTCTTTCTTTGAGAGAGAAAGAGAGAGAGAGAGAAAGAGAGAGAGAAGTAGAGGAAGAGAGAGGGGAGAGGAAGAGAGAGGGGAGAGAGAGAGAGGGAGAGAGAGAGAGAGAGAGAGACAGAGAGAGAGAGTGAGAGAGAGAGAGAGAGAGAGAGAAAGAGAGAGAGAGAGAGAGAGTCTCACAACTTTTGTGTCTTTGCAAGGAATTTGATGACGAAACACTGCCGTTTGCCTAGGTGTATATATTCAAGGTGTCTGAAATAAGGGACCCCAAAAAAGGGCAATTACTTTGTCATCTTTGTAACAAATAAACTTCAACTAAGTGGACATCAAATTTTGTGCATTTGAAGAATGTTGTCTTACTTATTTGAGAAATATCACGTTATTTTAAAATTTCAAACAAAATTGAATAAAACAAAAACTTAACGTATAAAACCCCCAACCATAATGTAAACCTTTTTGTGCATTGGGAAACAATTCATTTACACCTGACATTGCCAAACAAAACTTAGGAAACACAGTGAGTATTTAAATCTTATCGTCATCATCACTGGCTTTCTCACACTGGGTCAGGATATAGGCCACCAACAGAGTACTTTCCACTCTTTCCTATTCTGGGCTAGCCTCTTCAATAACTTCCTTAGACACTAGTTTAAAAAAACATAAATTTAAATCATAATAAACTCTGGGTGTTTTGAAGAAGTTTGGGAAATAGAAGGGGCCTAGTTCCAGCAGAACACCACACATAAAGAGTGGCTTGTGCACTGTTGCATGAAAGGTTTCGAGAATGCTTTATAATAAGCAGAAATAGCTTCCAAATAAATGGTCACCTCATTCCTCTGACTTGAACCCTCACAGTTATTGCCTTTGAATTAAAACAATTTTTTTTAGGAAGACAAGATCTATGGACACAAACCACAAACAATTGACTAGTTGACACTTATTGTTGAACAGTACGCCCAAAGAATCGCCATGGAAATATTCTACAGGGTGAACAAAAATTCCCGTTGGTGTATTTGAGCTTGTAATGAAAGAATTGATCTACGCGTGAAAGCATACAATGTAATTTAGTATCCAACACTTTCCCAAAGTTTATTGAGCAATAAAAGTTTATAATAGATTTGTTATACTTGGACGCAATATACATAATTATGGTTGATTTTTAAAGAAGTTTTTGCATTATACTCAATTTTGGGTTGAATTTTGTTTTAAAAGACAAAAAACAAAAAAAACTTAAAACACTAATATTTCTTGATCACATAAGTTTGACTTTTTCATATCCCCAAATTTGATCTCACTTGAATTGAATTTTATTTGTTTGAAGTTTTGTTGAAAGTGATGTGAAGATGAGCGAGTTGCTTCCCCCTTTAATGGGTCCTTTTCCTAGACACCTGAAATTCAGCTATTATTATACCTATCTCATCGAAGTTTTATTCTGTCTGTCAGTCTGTCTGTCTGTCTGTCTGTCTGTCTGTCTATGTGCTACACACATTCTGCACTTTTAACGAAAAACCACATCCTGTGTTATTGTCCATAGGCGACGTCGACTCGGTCCACCCAGCATGCCAGCTTGAGGCTGACAGTACCGTTGCATGTGCGGAGGGAATAATCGATAACTACTGGTCAAGTGCCCCAATGTCAGAGAAGTGCCCGTAAGTTGGAAGTGGTTGTGGCAATATAAACATATAAGAATGGAAGAAAACGCTAGTGTTCGCAAAAGAAACTTTAGCAGCACGAAACCCCCCCCTCGTCAAACAATAAAAGATGCAGAAAAATTATTTCATCACCATCAACATCACTGTCAACGTCATCGTCATCATCATCATAGCTGTAAGCTCGAAGTTGAAAAAAAGACCAACAATTAATGGAGACTAGTAGTAGTAGTAATAGTAGTAGTAGTAGTAGTAGTAGTAGTAGTAGTAGTAGTAGTAGTAGTAGTAGTAGTAGTAGTAGCAGTAGTAGTAGGAGTGGTAGTAGGAGTGGTAGTAGTTATAATAGTTGTAGTAGTAGAAGTAGTAGGAATACTTGTAGTAGTAGTGGTATTAGTAGTAGTAGTAGTAGTAACAGCATACATCCACCTGTGGAACTGAAGCTTTAAATAGCTTTAAATGTCTTACAGGTAGGGAACTCTTCTCTGCCGGAATTTTTCTCAATGCCATAGAAGAAGCCATTATATAAGTCAACTCAATCCATAAAATTTCTTTCATCCCGTGGTAAATGCCAATCTCCTCAGCATTTGTCATCATCAGACCTAGATGTACAAAATGTTATAATTATTACAACTTTAGTAGTAGTAGTAGTAGTAGTAGTAATAGTTGTAGTAGCATCATGAGTACCATTTTAAAAATGTACACCGTTGTTTGGGAAAACGTGCGTGGATTTAAAAATATCACGGAAAAAGAGGGGTTGTTAGGGGGGGTTCTTACTAGAATACAAGCATCATCATCATCATCATCATCATCATCATCAATTACTGACATGATGATTTGTGTTTGGGACGGAGAAATATTTCATCTTTACTGAAATGAAAAGAAAGTTGAGAAGTAGTAGGTAATCCATTATTTAGCTGAAACTTAAGAAACAAATATAGAGGTTAGTTAAGAACAGTTTTTTAATCATTTTATTCTATAGGCTGTTCCATACATCATCATTTATTGCTACTTTTGCAGATTCAGTGGTTGGTGAGTGCACTAGTGTGGTTTGCTCCTTTTCATGTCAAAAATCCATTGTCCTTCTCTCTCTTCATTCTTTCTTATGTTTGTTACTCTCTCCTAACACCTCTAGTCTTGGGCGCTTATATGACTAAGTTGTGTTGCAAATGCCATAATATGTTACTAAATTAAACATACCCTTTCAGTGCTCTGAAAGCCAACGTAAACTGTGTAAAAACTGCTGTCACCGGTTGCGAAAAGGGCGCTGTTGACAAAGCATCATGGGCCAAGAGGATTCCAACGATCACCACCGGACTGTGTGGCATAGATGACTTCAAATTGAATGATGTCTGCACCTCGAGGGATAGATGTGATAACAGCTTAATGGTCTCATGTGTGGCTGGTCAACTGAATACTTGCGGGTATGTTTTTTTCAGTCCTCTGCCTCCTCAACCCCCAACCCTTCCTCTTCCTTCCCTATTTCCTCCTCCCAAAAACTGACAATGTATATATATATATATGTGTATATATATTTGTGTAATACATTGTCAGTTTTTTGGGCAACTGGAGTTGTTGAAAATTCTTAAATCCTGTTCATTTCCCTTTCTTTTGATGAAAAAAATACCCATCTACCTTGAATAGAAGTTGAGATATAAGCAATTGAAGGAGGCTAGGATTGTCTGTAGCTGAGGTAAAATTAACGAGAAAATGGCCGCCAAAATTTGGTGACTCCCAAAGCTTGTGAGTCCTTGAAAACTGCAAATATACTTTTTTGCGAGCCCTTGGAAACTTCAAATTTACATTCGCTCAAAGCTTATGTTGTTCTTTAACCAGGGTTGATAAAAATTGATATGTTGGCCCTATAGATATTATATATTATTTTAAGTTTTAAATTTCCTTCTCCTCCTTCTCCTTCCGACTAATAATGATTTTTAAAAAATCTCTTTTTCTCAGTGCTATCATCAATGCGACTGGATGTGTGGATAATTTGTTGAAGAAGGACAGATGCTACTGGGACTCGTTGCAGTCATGGTTAGTGATGCGGTTAATGGAACAGAAAGGTATTACAACAATGCTTACCTGCGGCCAACAGTTTACCATCCCGCGACCGCGACGATTTGACAACACATGCTTGAACAGCACCCTGCATACTATCCGGGAAGCTCTGCACTCCACACTGGGCACAGATGCCCAGGCACTCTACTCGACTTTGGAACAGGTAGGGCAAAGGTTCGGGTCTAAATAGAGTCTGAATTATTTTTTTTCCCTTTCTGTAATACTTTTGCTGACTCTTGAGTCCGGACAGGGGAACAGGTGACGGTCAGATCTTGAGATCTTTAAGTTTAGGTTTTAGTACAAGTTTCACGCCATTTGCAGCAAAAATAGGTCAAATTAGTGCCCAAGATAAGCTGTGTTACGAGAGAGTAATGTGCAAAGGAAGAATGAGGGGAGATAAGAACAATAGATGTTTGATAGGAAAAAAAGAGCAGACCACACCAGAACACAGGCCAAGCTTTTAGGACTATAGTAACCTTGAATGTATCAATGTTGATATACCAATGTGCATTATGTAATAATAATAAATGGATCTGTATTATAGCGCATATCTAGATCTATAACATGCTGTATACACTTAACAACTAATATCACCCCAGCAAACCCTAGAACAGTCAGAAAAATTATCGACTTTGAGGAAAGCATACAATGCAAGCAGCTGATTAAGTGCTTAAACACTATCAAAGTGACAAGATCTTTTGCCTTCTTTAAATGGGGAGGCCTACCCATTTCCTCTTGGGTAAAAGGAATATTCATGTAAATTGCCTTTGCCAAAGATACAAGAAGGACCCTGAACTTTTAACTTTTCGATATAGGCTAAGCCTGACAGTCTAACCAGTTGACCACTGATGTCATCCCCACAAAAGAAGAAAAAAACAACCCTGAAGATAAATTCACTTAAAATCGAGCCCTCCAAATAATTGTTTGTTAGCTATAAAAGTGATTCTACAGGAACTATAATAAAAGTAGCTCTAAGCTAGATTACCCATTACTTAGATGTACTTGTGATAAAATTATTGTTGTTGTTTTTTTTAAAAACCACTATCATCAGAACAATTAGTCAAACCAATTATGTTATCAGAACTACAGTCTTACTTTTGAAAACTGAGAGTAAATGAAAGCTGTAAACAGAGATTTTGCTGTAACCCCTTCTCATGTATTTTTTCCCCCCAAGTTCAAACTGTGTCTGGCAGTGGAGGTAAATGCTGTGGAGGCTGTTGCATCGAGACTTCTGTACGATACAATTTCCTTGATTACTCTTCCAGCAGGTTTGTCAAAGATTTAAGCATTTGGATTTTTTATTGTGGTACACACACACACACGCACACACACACACACACACACACACACACACACACACTCACACTCACACACATACACATGCACACGCACATATACATACACAAACACACTGACACATACACGCACTCGTACACACTCATACACACACATGTATATAGATAGATAGATAGACAGACAGACGGTTTGATGGATGGACGGACGAACAGACAGATGGATGGACTGAGAGACAGACTGACAGACAGACTGACAGACAGAAAGACAGACAGACAGACAGACAGACAGGCAGAAAGGCAGATAGATAATTCTTCAACGGCAGACACCTCTGTTCTTATGGTAGCAGTCTGTCTCTGTCTGTCTGTCTGTCTGTCTGTCTGTCTGTCTGTCTGTCTGTCTGTCTGTCTGTCTGTCTGTCTGTCTGTCCTCTCAACTTTAGAACTTAATACAGGATGACTTTTAATAGTATAATAATAGGGAAATGTTTTGTTGTGTTTCATGTACTTAGTCAAGTGTAGATGTATCATGTTTTCATGAAAGGCATCCTTGTGTCGAATGATATCCTATATGTCCATTAGTGCTGAAATACCAACAGCAGGTAGCTTTGGATATTGGCTTTTAGAAGAGGTATTTCGGTTTGTTTCTAAACCCTGGGCGGTCTATACGAGATACAGGGCACCCTGTGGTAAAACTATTTTGTCAAAGAAGTGTAATAATAATAACAATAATAAAGACAGCAACAACAACAGCAGCAATAATAATACTGATTAATAATAATAATGATAATAATAATAATAATAATAATAATAATAATAATAATTTAACAATAGTAATAATTGTTTAATATAGAGCATATTCATGCTCTACAGCATGCTCTATTCGCTTTACAACTGCAGCAGACCCTTGAACTCTCAAAACTATCCTCGGCTTCCCAGGAGGCAGACAGTGCATTATGTAGATTACACACACTCAAACACTGACAAAATCTTTTGCTGTCTTTCGCTGGGTACCCATGTCCACCTTGATGAGGTGAGGAACACTCACGTAAAGACACAACGTCGGGCCCCTGGCGTTTGAGAGTCAAAAAGTCTTCTGGTTGAGAGTCCAAAAATTTCCGTTTAATTGAATTACCTTTCCCAATTTGCTGGATTTTTATTTCAATACATGGTAATTTTTTTGTTTCAGGTGGCCCTTTCGTCTTTAATGAAAGCGGTGAGGATTTTTTTATATTTGTAGAATCTTATCAAGTGTCCTTGCTACTGTTAGTCTACTGTTTGTGCTCTTGTGAATTAATTTGTTCTGACTCAGCAAAGATTAACTTTGTTTTCAACAATATATTTCTAATGAAATGACCATTTTGCATAATATTAGAGTAGATACAGTCGTTATAAGTTTGCAAAAGCCTATGAAGAATTAGGTTGTTATAACACATGCAAACCAACAAAAATACAAAAAAACCTGGTCTTCATATTCTTAACTTTATAGATACACATCCAGAGAAGTGATCAACAATAGAAAGAAACCGACCAGATTTAAATCACAGAAATCAGCGGAAGCATTGATACCCGTATGATTAAAAACAGTGGCGGCAACAAAAGGAAAAGAACTGGACCCCTAAATACAACAGCACACAAGCATATTATAAACAGTCCAGCACACTACCCCTTCGAAAATAGCCCCACCAAATGAAAACCCCCTTTACTTATTATTTAGAAAAGACCATTGCTTAGCACACCAGTGACTTGTTAGATAACTCATCTAAACTGTTTTTACATATACCTGACTAACATAAGATGTGATTGAAATGCTGAATGGCAAATTAAGAAACAAAGATGATTGTCACAGCAATGTTATTTTAAAAAATCCTTTTTTATTTCTCGTCTGCACTATTTCCCTTGCTGCTTGGAAACTGCAGATGTCTTTGTTGGTGAGTAACATTGTTGTTGATTTTTTTTTTTTTTTAAAGATATTATTCATAAATGAACCTTAATCTTTAATTTCAAAGTGATCAGTATTTATCTGTCCACATCAGGATGTGAGGATCGACTTATTTTTTTACATGATAATAAATAACATTTAAAAATGAATGTTAAATTTTGTCTCCCACCCTGCCTTCCTCAATGTTGTAAGAGAAAGTTCCAGAGAGATGGAGTTAAATTAGTGCTTTTTTAACCTCCCCTACCAGGTGCTCTCATAAGATTTATTATTCTCTCGTGCATTATTCCCTGAAACAAGCCAAGAAAAAAAAACACCAAGACAAACAAACACTAATTTCATATTTGCTCAAGCCGTTCTCCGACTAGCAACAATACTGAAAAACGATTATATAGATTGAAGCTTTGATTTACTACACATTCGTACCTATCTGCCCTTTTAACATGAAGGTTGGTATTTATTGGATGCTTGGCTATTGTAGTGCTTTCTTTTTCTTATTTCTAGTAACAACATGGATTGCTAGATCCACCCAATTTGACCTTTTATGTTTCACCATTTCACAAAAGATACTTTTATAGTATGTGATATTAAAACAAATTAGATGCGCGTATAAAATAATTTAAAAATCTATGTTTATTGCTTACCTTTTGCTCTCCTGTGTTCAGATACGGAGAACTGCGCTTACACTGAGGCTATAGCATGCATTGAGTATGAGCTTGCAAGTATCTTGACTGTGAAGTTGGCCACTCCGAAAGAAAAGGACATGCTGTGCAAGTGAGTTCACACAATTGCATGCGCTCGCTCACTCCCAAACACCCAAAGACACACACACTCACCCACACACACACACACACACACACACACACACACACACACACACATGCACATGCACACACACACACACTTATACACATGTGCAAACACATGTATACACACACATACGCAATTTATAAACAACAGACTCCTGAGAGCTATAGTACTGATAGGCCTTTGTATTTTTCTCGAATATTATAAAAGCAAGTGACTCCAAAGTGGATGTGACCATAACTCATCTTACAGTTTTGCCTATAAAGCATAAGAAGATTAGGCACTGTTTTTCTTTTTTGAAGGGTTTCGTTGTTTGTTGACCAATTAAAGTACAAAGGATTGAAAAACAAAATAATACTGGGTGTCTGAAAAAGAGGACCCATTCAAAGGCCAATATATTGGCCATTTTTGGACCAATTTTCAACACCAGTTGGTACAAATAAGATTCAACGAGTGGGACGTCAGATTTGTCAATGCAAAGAAAACCAATTCAGTTGCTCATGAAATATCAAATTTTAACCGATTTTACCGAAACTGAGTGAAATGCAACATGTAATAACTTCTTTAAAAATTCAACCACGATGTGTATAGGCCCTATCTGTGCATTGAAGAACAAATTAATTTATTATTTATATTGCCAAATAACTTCAGGGAAAGTGTTGGCTATTTAAACTAAATACTCCAAATGTTGACCTTTTCTACCCAGACTAGCTCAAATATGCCACTAGCATAATATTTGAATTACCATGAGGCATGTTTCTGGGTCGACGTGTGAGGTAGAGTTGGGTCAGGCTTGCTAATAAGCGTCTGTGAGAAAAAACAGTTCTCTGGTATTACTCACAAACGAACCGGCGGGTAACAAGCTCTCTGCTTGTGAAGATTCATTCGCTACTCACTACACTTCGGATGCAGAAACAACAGTTCATTTAGCAAGCGAACAAGAAGATGGGTGGACGAAGAGACTCCATGCTTTCGATCGTGCAGATGGATGGATGGAGGCACTCCTTCAATTGCATACTACTTACACCCCATACCCACACACCGCCGCACCCCTACCCCCATATATCTATAGAAAATAATAATTTCACTCTCCTGCCCCACATTGTAGCTAGGTGTTCATGGCGGAAACTTGGAAACTTCTCTACTTGCCCCCCCCCCCCCCCCCCCCCCCTCTCTCTCCCTCTCTCTCTCTCTCTCTCTCTCTCTCTCTCTCTCTCTCCCCCCACCCCCCCAAAAAAGGCCTTGGGAATTCTGTAAACTTCGCCTTCCCGATAATTGGAATGTACAGCGTGACCACATACAAGGTGAAAGGTTACACACACAGATCTAGTACTACATCACCAGCCTCTCTCACTCCTTGTGGCACCTCTAGTTGCTTGAAACACTACGCCCAATTCACAAACAATAGACGATGGGTCTAACCTCGTCGAGTATCTCGTCTGCTAGAGTTCGTCCATTCGCCCGCCCGCTCAGTGAATAAAATTGTGGAGCGGACCCAAAAAATGAACTGACTTGAGGCTTGAGATCCGCAGTCCGCTCACTGAGAGAGTAAAATTGTGAAGCAGACCCAAAAAATTGTCTTGAGGCTCGCAGTCCGCTCGCTTGGCTGTCTGTTACCCGCTCCCTCAGACTTTTGAGTCCAACATCAATTCGAAAACGAATTTCAGGCAATGACAATTTTAAATTTTGTGGACTGTGTGTTGGATTCATAAATCAACTTCCCATCAATAAATGATGCAGATGCAATATGCTGTGTGAGTTTAGGTGAGGGAAACCAGATTCGACCTACTAAAAACTTCTGTCGTTGTAGACTAGATCTACGGCAGATTACGGCACTGCGGCGAGGTCCAGGGCAAGACCAGTCTCTGTGGCGTTTTTATTATACGAATTTACCCACTTCCCTTTCTCGATTTTGAACTTCTGTTACCCATAACAGCAAGCACAGTAACATATATGTGTACACAAACCTTTTATGAATTCGGATGCACATCCAATAATTTCATTTTCTTCGGCCATTCTTCGTACCCAGGTCTCTTCGACAGGAGGAGACAGGACTCGGGCCAAGTTTCAACACGGTTTTCGGTGTTTTGTTGACGTTAGCAGCCTGCTTTTGTAACCAATCTTCTATGAACAGACAATCTGGCTTGTGCCACCCAGGGGCTGAAGTGTGGTTTAAAAGTAGCTTTATTCCTTCCAGTCGGTGTTTACACTAGTTTTTGAACAGTTACACGGATAAAAACAATATAAAAATCGGAAATTCCGATCGTCAGGGATACACACACAAGACAGCCATGTTTGAACTGGAGGAAATGGACAGGAGTTGTCACGTGCTCAATCTTAGCCAAACACAGCGGTTGTTACAATCGTCTCCATGACGATTTAAACTTAAGCCAATGAGAAGTCTACTTGTATAGTAGTTTATGAACGCCAAGCAGAAGCACTAAACAACACGCCAAGAGGCCAAATAATAATAATAATATTTACTTTTTTTAAACGTGTCTCTCTGCGCATAAAATAGTTTCACCTAATCGTATTATTAATTTAAACAAACTTGCATAAAATTTAAGACTGCTCAGTCTCCCATTTTTTATAAAGTACATGAAACTTACCAAACATCTGGACATCTTCGTACCATCTTCTTGCGCGCACCACAAAAAAAT